ATAAATCCATCAAAACACGCGCATACTGTGGACAAGCATTATCCTGCAACAACGTGACTTGACGTATATGAATTTACACAAAGAATCTGATCAAAGACAGTGTCTTCTCCGTAGCGTATACCTTTCAGTTGTCCACAGTAATGTTGAGTCGTGTTCCATCGTAAGACTTCCATGGTACCATTACATCTCCACCCAAAACTGACCACGGCGAGCAATGCAAGTGTGGTTAAAACTGTAGACCCTTGTAATATGATCAGAGCTGTCCAAATGAAACCTGGACTTTTCTATGAACAGTATACTGCCCCAATCTGGTCTTCTGAACCTCATATGCTGTCTACGCCAATCTAGTGGTGTCTGACGATGCCTTTGAAACAAAATTGGTCAAAGTGCAGGACGATGGGAAGGATGTTGTTTTCCGTCAAAAGAGTGCGTACGGTTCTGCCTCTAATTGGTTTCAATACATGAAGTATTCGACCTGTTAATGTGGAATGTGATTCCGCAGATGCACCAACCGAATATGCTTGCCTTGTTGATATGACCTGGACGGCGCACAGACGCTGATTTACAGAAAGCAGCCTTAGCATTGTGTAAGCGTTATTTACAGTTCAATAAAGTGTTTTAAGAGCACCCGCTAGCTAAACTTCCACATCTTAACAAAGACATTGTGCGTCATTCTCCAAACAAATACTCAAACATCCAAATTGTGCTCCATGCCTGAACATGCACGAGTAGACTATGAATTAAGACCTAAAAGAAATGTCTTCATGAATATTCCTTGAAATATACATTCTTTCATTTCAGAATAACTTTCTACTTATTGAACTTTATTCAGCACAATACCTTTTCTAAGTAAATAAAAGAACACTCGAGACCTATTTCTTACAATATATTCCTATTAATGATATCATGAAATGTTTTGTGACTAACTCCATAGGGTTAAGTTACAAAATGACCTAATTACATTCAGATACTGAATTCGATTATCAAATGACATTAGATCTCACACGTGAACATAGACAAAGTAATGAAGAAGTGTATCTGGTAGTGCTAAAACCTTGAACTGACTGGACTCGTTCAAATCAAAAGCCTGATATGAACCAAGACTCTGAACTGCTGTGACAGGTCAAGTTCCTGACCACAGTGCGTCCCAAGGCGGTTGCAAAAGCATTGACTCCTCAGTGGACAACGGTTGGAAACGTTGACAACAGACACCCTAAGGGAATGAGGGGGGCTTCTGTAGCCACATCCCGAAAACATGTTAAAGACGCCCCTATCTGCATGGCTGACTGACCAACAAACAAGATAGATATCACTTCTATTCCGATACATTCGTCCACATTAAGCAAGTCAACTTGAAAATCTATCATTCCCTTAACAGTAATGGTATTTTCAAAGTCAGTTATTACTACTAAATGATTATACTCTCACGGCTTATTAGGCGTACCCTGCCATTATTAAATTTGTTTCAGTGACGCTGAAAATCGATTAAACTCGTGTTTCTAGCGACTTGCTAAGATGAACGCATTCATCATTGATTGATGAAAAAATACATTATTGCTAATTTTGTCAGGTGATTTACTCCTTCTTGAAATTGTATTTTCTACTCATATCGTGGCTGGTATCAGGTTGCACATTTTTTACACGAATTTGAAGGTCTTGCTCATGTTCTCATTTTAACCATTTGTCTGTTATGAATAGCATCAAAATCGTTTAAACTATTGATATGCAAGGTCTTAACCTAATTCTACTGTCGAGAATCCTGACAAGAAAGGAGGGTCGGTTTTAGAATGACTTCTGTACTGTACAATGAGCGTGACTCACGGAAAATAAAGGGTTATACCCCGTGGTATGGTGCTAGTGCAAGACGTTTTAATTAATAAAATGCGTAAAGCTGAGCCATTGCCTCTGAGCAATTAAGCATATGATTAACCGGCAGATAGACAAAGAAGTTGGTAAGGGATTTGAACCAAATTTGACTGCCATTAGCATGATCCCATTCTGGTGTTAAACTGTGAGGAAACAAGATGGAATCTTTAAATTACAGAACCTACACAGGAACACAACCTCGTCAAAGAATGTTTAGCCATACGTAGACGTAGGAGAGGGTATGCCTTTGACACCAGGACACACGGTGTCTGATCGTCGACTCAAAGAATCCACCCAAGCAGGCGAAACATTCCTCCTACTGTACTTCAACGTGACTTTGTTTTTGCAGCTAGATCACACAGATCATGTAACTGTCTGTTTTCACCAACTTGACAATTTATGAGATATCATTAAACTGAAACCTTGTGTCAAATAGTCGTAGTTGTTTCTAAGGGTGATTTGTTCATTGCACATGACATCACCCAAAGAACTCTTTTATTTCCCTTTTTATAGAAAATGATATTTTTAATATTTAAGCGTTGAAAAGGTTGGAAGGTATAAGAGCCATTAAGACCATTTTTCATTCCGTTACACGTAACATCTCCCATTCTATTCTATAACCGTAACTCGGGCGGTGTGGTAGCCAAGGTTAAAGCGTTCGTTCATCAAGCTGAAGAGCTGAAGGTATCCAATTGCAACGCCGTGATATAGCTGGAATAGTGCTACAAGTTCAAAACATGCTACATAGGTAATCATTCTTTGGTTTGAAAGTAGAGCAAGATAAAAAGAAGCCATGAACCTGTACCAGAAGTCTAGAGGACAGTGTTTCAAGGCGGATATAGTACAAATAGGTCTTAGTGTGTATTGCGATGGAGTAGCCTAGTGGTTAAAGCATTCGCTCGTCACGCCGAAGACCCGGGTTCGATTCCCCACATGGGTACAATGTGTGAAGCCCATTTCTGGTGTCCCCCGCCGTGATATTGCTGGAATATTGCTTAAAGCAGCGCACAAATAAAGTCACTCACTCACTCATTTTATAGACCCAGGCAGCAGTACCGGACGCCATACGGGAATGGGAGTTACGTTCACCATAGCGCTAAGATCACCGTGTGGAACGGGGCCCTGGTTCAAATGTTTGCTCTAGATGACGAACAAGTCCCTTTAAGATACAGCAGAACATTCCAATACTACCGTTCACAACTATCAAATTATGTATCATAAGTAGCCCCGCCTTTGTACATAGTTAAAATAACCTCAGATGACAGCCTGTAACGTCTATACGTTGGGGTCATCATGGTACATATGTCAAAAAAAAATCTTACTTGTAATACAAACTTTACCAATAATACTAGTCTGGAATGGTTTCTGGGAAGTTGGCTATTTTCCTGTTGACCGAGTAATGATGGTTTGGGGCAAATGTTTCTGCATTTGTTCATTTCAACAAAACCCCACTCTCCTCCATTTCACATCACACGGCGAGGAATAGGCGCACTGGGCGCAAGACAAGGGGAATGGACCACAAAGCGTTAGATGAATGGCATATGCTACTGAACATCAAACATCAAACATTCTATGAAAATGGACAGATAGACACAAATTGCCATTACCAAACCACGCATTTTGTAAACTGGGATAAAAGGCTAGTTAAGTCCCACCCTAAACTGCTTTATGTATCAGGTCCAAACATTATCAGTGTCAATCAAGTCCAACGCGTTGCCGTGGCAACAACCTAACTTCTTTAAAATGAAAAATTGCCATAATGGTGAAAGTTGGAACTTCTGTCAATATTGATATTTCTGTGCAATAAAGTTTTATTAGTCTACTGACTCAAATTATGATTATTTTTACGAAGGTTTTTATGTGTGATATAGAAGAATCTATTTTTCCTTCTGCATACCTCACAATGTTGAATAGTCGGAAATGCATGCTTAATACACAAGGCAGTTGTGTAAATCTGGACAGGAAGGCTTAACTTAAGTCTATCTAACCAACAGACTCTTATATACCCATGCCAATAATGGTTGTCACCCTCCCCACCCCAACCCCACCCACCCACACACCACACACCCATTCCACACCCCCTCCAATAAAAAAATTTGAAGGGGGTGACAACCATTATTGGCATGAGTATATTATTTAGACTAGTTTTGTTTTTAGTGGATTTAATATTGACATGGATATTTGAGGAAGTCATTTCAATATGTAAGATGACGAAATGGAGTTTAACTATTCCTAACTATTTTTAACTATCAGACTATTTCATTTATACAGTGAGTGAGTGGGTTAGGTTTTAAGTTTTTAGCATATCACGGCGGGAGACAGCAGAATTGGGCTTCACACATTGTAGCCATGCCGGGAATTGTACCCGGGTCTTCGACTGCCTCACCGCCCCAACTTAAACAGCGACGAACATGCAGGTACTACTCAGGACATATAGTGACCACTGAGATACCAGGCCCCGATTTCTCGAAACAAACTTAAGTTTTTACTCAACTGAATTTGACAATTTGAAACAGATGAATTTTTAACTCAAGTGCATTTTTTCAATAAAAAAAGCCCAAACAACTTAAGTAATCTATCCACCTAACTCAAATTGTCTACTGTGTTTGAGTTTAATATCGATTTCAGTTCATTCTGGGAAATGCATTTTCTCAAAATTGAGTGAAAACTCTAACCTAAGTCAAAACTCAGACATGAGTTTGTTTCGAGAAATGCGGGCCAGGTCCCAGTTTAACATGGATGTCCTACTCAGATACATAGAAACTCCAGTGCTTGATATATCATTCAGTGTAATATAAAGTACATTTTCCAAATGTCGCTTTGTATGAGTAAATCTATAATCGTGTATTGTTTCAATCCATATTTAGCCACATAACAACACAATGTCCCGTTGAAGTAGATAATAACCCTACAAAAACATAACATCTATGTAGATGTGATACTGAAATATTATTGGGTTCAAATATTATATAAAAAGTAAATGGCAAGAGGAAACGTTTCGGCACAATAGTGACTTCTCAAATGTCGATTTAGACAGAGTGAGTTGTTTTGTGTTCCAGTAGCATCACGTTTGGTCACAATTCCCTTTGCAGAGTTGTGTGCCTTGTGCCAGAAACCAGTGGTCATGAGTTTACCTCCACGTAATGTTTCTTGGTTGCAACATACTCGTACTCGTAGGTTGTATCAAAATGGTGATAGTCGGAGACCTTCGTCATTTCGGGATTTCCCTCCGAAACACTGTTCAAAGTCGCCATAAACCCAACACACTCGAGAAACATTCATGTTCTTGTCAATATGTGTTGGTTCACGTTACTAAATTAATGACAGTTATGTTAACTGACAAAAATTGGGTATTATGGTATTAAGTCTACATCTTCCTTCCATTTGGTCGAAGATCACTTCTAAACAGGTAAAAGTTACAAGGGACAAGTTACCATGTTTCTTTCTGAAGACATTTTGATACAAAGAAAACTAATGACAAATGGGAAAACGATGTATTGATGCAGTTAGACGAGACATGACTGAATATACAAATATTTGACGTCCGTGTATCTTTGAAAAACAAATCGTCATGGTTGGCCCTGTCGTGCAAGGAGCCGCCAAACGTTATGCAGTGCCCTCTGTGGCGTCACATTCAGTGATCCATTCATATGAGTTTTATAGCTGTTTTGTGTTTCACGTGGAAATATTTTGCCACCGTTACAAAAGCAGCGATACACTTCGCCCTTGCCCTCGCCCTCGCCCTCGCCCTCGCCCACTCACTCATTAAATTCACTATTAAACTGTTTGACACATTGTCCCATCCTATAATAGATGCGGCAAATCAACCCGATAAACTATTATGTACTTTTATGTAACAACACAATACCATATGTTAAGAACACACTGTGTTATTATTCAGAACCTCATCATGTCCAGACAAACAGCCAAGGGGGATGCTCCTTGTGACAGTGAGCAGTTACAGATTTCCTGCCAATTCTATAGACGCCAAGAAATACATTCCATACATGAATCTCTCCAAGGCGGAGAGAAAATCAAAGTTTGTTTTAGTAGGCAATGATGTCTAGGACGTCAGGCATTGTCTAACCAAATTTTGAGGAGGGAAAAAGCTTCTAATGAACGTTGGCAAATTATAACCTGACCACGATGTGCCAAAATAGGAACGGAGGCAAAAAGATACTGATGAACCTGATGCAAGACAGATCCTGGATTCTCCACTTCTTCATCAATACTAATCCAATCATCTCACTTCGACACCACTACTTAAAATGACCGAAGAATAATCCTTTTGAAAATCATAGTTTTTAAACGGAGCAATCGGAGGCATGCCCAGTAAGCACGTAAATTAATTATTACCCGAACCCAAAGGGCGTCTGTATTGACACTGAGCGAACTCAAAATCTGAAAGTGGTGGCACATGAGAATGTATGGAAATGGGAGGGTTGAGAGAGCAAGAAAATCTAATCTTTGATTCAATCAGATCCGGCGCTTCTTGGTTAACACGGTTTATAAGATTCCATGAACAAACCTGCTAGTTCTTTAACATGCGCGGGATCTTTGCCAATGGTTTCTTGTCACTCATGGTTGGACAAGGCTTGATGATAACACAAAGTGTTCAGAGGAATGTCACAGAGGATTGGGACCGCGTCTGATGTGTGCCATGGAATGAGTCGGGGGAAGGAATGATGATAAACTGATTAAACATTTCTTCAAAGAACAAAGCCCTCTTAATCAAGATCAACTGGTACTTGTTCCCGTGCGAGCATGTTCTTACATTTACATCAATCGGTGCTAATGATCGCAATCATATCAAAATGAGGAAACGTTTATTATGTCAAATACGGCTTTAAAACAGTTCCAAGTTGTACATTTAGAATTATTAAAGTATAAATGTAATCAAATCAGCTCATCAATGAAAAGTGTTTACCGTTCAATTAGGAAATGAAATAGTAAGAACATATTTTTATCAATTCAAGACATGAGATGTCAGAGAAATGACGTCATGAACGATTTTCAAAGATATTCTCCAATCAAATGATGACATTGGTTCTTAAGTGGGAATTGAAATGCACAACTGTCTATGACGTCCTTCCACCCTTAAATTTCACAATGTATATCAATGTTACAACTCTGACGAAGGGATGAAGAATAACGAAATTTGTTTATAACTTTCACTTTCATTTGCGCCATTAATTAACTGAATAGGATGTTTATTTCACTTCTTGATTATATCATATGCTTCAGTAAAAATCAATAATCTAACCCACTTATCTCTAAACGTCTCCCTGTTTCCCATCTAAGGCCGTGAAATAACTTCAGTTTTACGAGTTTTTGCTGCCTTCTCAGAGAAGCTACTCAGACACACTACTGAGTTCAAAACTTCAATAAGAAACACCAGAATGTTATAGAATTAAAATCCGCGTTTCTCAAAAGCCATGATAAGTGTGAAGGTAATGCGGGTCTGTTTGCTGTCATGCTTGAGTTTATGACAAGTAATAAAGCTATATTGCTTAGCTGAAATCTCGGCAATCTATTCAAAGGTTCTTATTTATATGAAAAACGGCGGCTCGCTCTGTGAGGACATGGCCAATCGATACATGGATGTCAACTTTAAAAGATTAAACTCATAGGGTGGCAACAACGGCGTCAAGATTACAAGAGTGGACATCATATGTGTCTCGGGCCTAACTCCTATTGTGAGTTAAACACAGTCCAAATAGAACGTATCTCGAACAATTATCATCCTCACCATATATCTGTATACCACTACTATATATTTTCCCCAAATACATAACACTGCATTTACACTTCTGCAGAAACGTAATGAATAAAACTTGAATACATTTTGATTTGGTATCATAATATATAACTAAATACAATGAAATGTAGATTCATGACTTGTTACTGTAGCTAGAAGAATATATCTTAAACTGAAAAGTACTATGAAGATATATTGTTGACAAGACAAATGCGCTTACAATGCGTATAGATCGTATAGATCAATATACTAACAAAACATTACTTTCAAGAATGGTTCAGAATCTTAACGTTGCTGTTCTCAATATTTATGAAAGATTGAAAAAGTTATGCTTACCAGACACGGGAATGTGAGCGTACAAAAGCATGAATAGGAACATGTTTGTCACTGTGCCTGGGTTGAGCATGTTGTCATACAATGGATCATAATCCGGATGTGTCTTCGTTATAAAAACATGACTTCCTAAAAGGTTCCCGGCAGACTTAATCCAGGGTTACCATTCGCATTGTATCCTGCAGGCAGACACGTGGAAGTGTCCCACCGAACCAGTGATCCGACATTTGGTATTAACACATGACACACAATAAAGCAATCCTGAGCAGAATCTCCTTTAAATAACATGGATACATCCATTGACCAATCAGAATTCTCGATTTGGTTCTACTTCCAGTGGTACTGATAGCTTGATCTGCCGCTGTGAATGCCATGTACATCCTAATGCATCTTAACACCCTTCACTGATAGGCATATTAGGGGGGAAGACGACACACGCTGCCAACATTAAGAAAGGAATTCCCCTCATAAACACCGCCGCTGGTAGAAGCATTTTGCAAATTGTCCGGAGTATCGTTACAAAGTGTCTGGAAGTACTTGTATGAACTTTTTCATTTCGATTCACATCTCCTCGACATCATTAACGCCGGGGAATAATTGGCTAGGCCATTCGCCCTTTATTTCTGGGTTTGATCCCCGGGTTGTGCCTGGTGGGCTTCATTGTCGGCAGCCGTAGGTCGGATTGTTATACCACGATCTTCTATCGATTTTCATTTACCTCTCATCGGAGATTAAATTTTCTTGTCAGGAAATTCTTGAGTCGTGCCATTACATCAATTTGGTTTTCGGTTTTCGTTTACAGTTTTCGTGTCTCGTTTTAGAGGAAACAATTATTGCAATTAATTATGTAAAAGCTATGTAAGTGCTAGTTATAGAACGTAAGATCGGACATATGGTAGAGAAATGATTATTTTATGTCGGTTCTCTTTGGGTGAATACGTTTACATCGCTGAGAAGTTCTTTTCTATGAAAGTTAATGAACATTGCTATTAAACAAAATACCATGACCTTTTCAAAAGTCATATCTACTGATTTATTTATGGCTATTATTTCACATTCTGAGAGCAAGATGGAAATAATCCTCAAAACAAAGTACTTACACATTACACGCATCCCTTGGTGAAAACAATGTGGAATATATAAAGGAGACGTATACGTCTTGTGCCTAAGCTACTTTTGAAAATGCTTAGAATGTTTACATTTAGAGGGTTCAGGGGACTCCATATACAAATCTAAACATTTGAGAATTAAGTACTTCATTGTTAGGTGATGGGAACATTTATTATAATATGGGAACATATTGGGATAGATTACATTTAACAGGGTGGAATAGAATATATTTGTAATTAAGTCCTTATTAATTAGATGCGATTAAATAAATCGATTTTCAAAATTTGTGAGAGAAATCAAACTGCATTTCAAACGAGTGAGGAGAGCGGAAGGTCGCGGGTTCAATCCCAAAAGACGTTAAAATATGGTACTTGTTGGTCCCTGCTTGGCGCTCGGTATTAATGGGTACAACAAGGTCTGGTCGGCTCGGAGTCGGTATAATGTGTCTGAGTGGGGTATTCATGCTTCACTGCGGCATGGTATCTCAGTGGGCTAGCACAATAAAACCAGGTTCAATCTGGGCTAGTACAAGCAGCCGCACATACACACGCATGCACGTCGTCATATGAGCGAAATATTCTCAAGCACAACGTTAAACCCAATTTCAGCTCACCTCACCTCAAACGAGTGAATATCTTGCCGACATTCCTTATAACACGTCACTGATTCAGCTCAGACATACTTATAAGTGGTATTTAATCGATTTCTTACTTTGTTTGGGTGATCAAGTAAACCTTACACTACCGTGTATGTATGTATGCACTGAATGTCGACATTCAACACACGGCAAAGAAAATGAGAACTTATGTCGTTGTAAGGTAGATAAGGAATCCTCAAATTTGTTTTGCGAACGTCATTTGATATACATTTGTACAAACACATTTGAACACAATCGGTATTCCATGGGGAAAAAATGGATCTCATTTTTTTATTTTAGACATAGTAGCATATTCCAACGGCTCACTTGTCTGATTTGTTATGCTGATCGAATTTTTCCAGTGTTGAAAATCGTCG